TTTTTTATTAAGAATTATTTAATTTTACTTATTCATTTATTTTCATTTGACCAGAGAAAGACAGACACACAGAGAGAAGGAAAGTGAGAAAGCAAGCCACCAAGTCCAGGAATTGAACCATGGTCAGCCATGAGGGACTGTCCAGCGCCTTAATCACCACGCCATCTGCTGGCCTGGCATGACATGAATTTCAAGCCACCTGGTCTGGGAGTCGAACTGCAGCCGACCACTGGGGAATCCAGCAGCTTAACCATTATGCCACTTGCTGGCCTCAAGTGTTTTGAAACGTGTGCAAGTTTTTCCACGTCCCTTTTTGTTACCAATTTCTAATTAAATTTCCTTGTAATTGGAGAATGAGATTTTGATTTTCTGTTAATAATCTTGGGACTGCTAATGTCAATCATCAGAAGACACAGACACATACTTATTCTGCCATGTTTTTGTTTTAAAACAGCCAGAAGCTTGGCTTTATCTTTTCTTTTTTTTTTTAAGAGAGATTTTTGGTATAGGGCGTGTGCACTTGCCAGAGAGATGAACGTGAGAAGTCATCCGGCAGTGGGGAGGCCATGCCACAATTCCGTCTCCTTTTGGGAATTTGGGCGCGCACACACACACACACACATGCCCAACAAGAATTTTAAACCACCAGGTTCAGGACTTGAACCGTGGTCAACTATGTGGGAGTCCAGCAACATTAACGATTATGCCATCACGTGGTCCCAAGTTTGCCTTTATCTTCCTGGTAAACTGAATCTTTTCAAAATCATTAAGTGCTACTCTAATAAAAGGACACTTCAAAAAGTTTGTGAAAGATGGAATGAAAATGAGTTCGTGGGGCCAGCAGGTGGCATGATGGTTAAGGCATTGGATCTGATATGGCTGACTCCATGGTTCAAGTCCCAGAACTGGTGGCGTGAAGAACATGCCGGGCGTGTGTGCGTGCTTGCCCAAGGTTCAGAATGGAGGAGAAGGAAGGCTGCAGTGTGGCCATCCCCCATAGGGGTGATTTTCCACTCTCTCTCTCTGTGCCTCTGGTGAGCGCGTGCACCCCATAGCAAAAATCTTTTTTTAAAAAAGTTTGTTTTGGTGCAAAAACTTTTGAAATTCATGCTGGACTCTTTTTTTTTTGGAAAGGAAGTTTATTAAGTAAAAGAGAAAGTACACTCCCGAGAGGTAAGAGCAGGCCTGAGAGGATGGAGCAAGAGCGGCTCTCCAGGTGCCGCAGGTGCACTCTGCGACATTCACAATTTTTAATCTACATCACGTTGGTTGATCCCTGGCCAGGCCGACTATTTTATCTTACCGGCTCCAGGAAATAGGGCTGGGATCATTTCCCATATACAGCGTTGGCGGCAGGGCCCGGGAGGTGGCTGAATGTGGTTTCTCGTCCAATGTCCAGTCTTTCTACACACGGAGCGGGAACCTGCAGGCTGTTCTTTTGGGTAAACTACTGGACAGGTTGTGGGTACTGTGGGCTTTGCCAACTGGGACAGCTGTAAGCCTGGGTTGTGGTTTTTCTTTGTCCTTCTTTTCCCTCTTCAAGACCTCGATGATTAAATGCCATGAAGGCTGTGTCAAGTAATAGAGACTGATTGGTTTGGGGTCCCATTTCATGTTGGAATTTTTTTTTTTTTTGGAGAGGTTTTTTTGTTGTTTTGTTTTGTTTTGTTTTGCTATAGGGCACATGCACTCCAGACAGAGAAAGACAGAAATGGCCGTGCCACAATCCCTTCTCCTTCATTCTCCTCTCAGAATCTTGGGCATGTGCACACATGCGCCCGGCGTGAGTTTAAGCCACCTGGTCTGGGACTTGACCCACAGTCAACTACATGAGAGTCCAGTGACATAGCCATTACACCATCCACTGGTCTCTGGACTTTTTTAAACCCATTTATTTATTTATTTTAATTTGACCAGAGTGGGACAGTGTGTGTGTGTGTGTGTGTGTGTGTGTGTGTGTGTGTGAGAGAGAGAGAGAGAGAGAGTGATAAAACAGGCCACCAGATCCAGGACTCAAATTGTGCTCAGCCATGTGGGAGTCCAGCACACTTAACCACCACACCACCTGCTGGCCCCCATGCTGAACTTTTTAATTGCCAAAGGGCACATGAACCAATGGGGAGTCATACGCAATCCATTCTCCATTTCTCTGTCTTAACAGAATTTAGGGGATGTATATACACATGCTGGTGTTTTTCAACTGTCAAGGTAGGAATTTTGTTTGTTTGTTTGTTTAGAAAGAGAGATTTTTGCTATAGGGCATGTGCATTCACTGGAGAGACAGAGACCTAAAATGAGAAATCACCCCCCCTAGGGGGTATGGCCATGCTGTAATCCCATCTCCCCTGTTCTCCTCTTGGAATTTTGGGCATGCGTGCACATGTTCCCAATGTGAGTTTTAAGCTGCCGGATCCAGGACTCGAACTGCGTTGGCTACATGCAAGTCCAGCAACATAACCATTACACTATCGACTGGTCCTCAAGATGGGAATTCTAACCCAAATTGGTCACATGGGACCCAGCTCTCTTAAACAGTAAGTTATGGGGCCTGCCCCCATGCTTAACTTTTATTCCTCTTAAATTCCATTTCGCAATATTTTTTAAAGAATTATTTAATTTTATTACTTTTTTTTTTTTAATTTGACCAGAAGAGACACAGAAAGGGACAATGAGAAGGCAAGATACCAGGTCAAGGACTTGAACCACAGTCAGCCATGTGGGAGTCTAGCGCCTTAACCACCATGCCACCTGCCAGACCCCCATTTCAGTATTACTATAGCCATATCAGTTAAAAGTTTCTTAAAGTTTTATTTCCCCATTATGTGCTTTTTGTAAGAAAATCTTTCCTGTGTTTATAGACTTCAGTATTTTAGGAGTGTCTCCTGGAGACAAAATATGGCAAGATTTTTATTCTCATTTATTATTTTCTTTTAATAGCAGAGCCTCGCTATTTCCTCTGTCTTGTCTTCCCCACTAGCTTCTGATCTCAGCTTCCTCAGTAGCTAGGATTGTACCACTATACAGGCTTTGAATTTCATCATTCAAATTCAGCCCTGTAATCTCTGTATTTTAACTGAGGTGTTTGGTTCATTTACATTTACTATGATTATTATTGACATATCTGCCTTCATTGCCATGTGATTTGGTGCTATTTTCCTGAAAGATTTTTGTTTCTTAGTCCAATTTTCTCTCTCCTGTCTTAAAAGTTAAAAGTTATATATTGGGTTGTCAGAAAAGTCATTATGTAATTTTTTCTATGCAAAAATGTGTCATGACTTTTCCGAGAACCCGAGTTTGGCCCCTCAATCTGGATCCCCAGGCTTTTGACCAATTTTTTAAAATAACTGGCCTCTCTGAATGTAGCTATTCTCCCATTTTCTTTTGTGAGCATATTAAAACTTGCATTTTTCCCAGGGCCGGCAGGTAGTGTGGTAATTAAAAATAATAATAATAATAATAATAATAATAATAATAATAAATCTTTAAAAATAAATAAATAAATAAAATCTGCATTTTCAGGGCCAATGGGTGGCATAGTGAAGACACTGAACTCCCATGTGGCCAACCATAGTTCAAGTCCCAGACTCAGTGGCTTGAAATTCACACTGGACATGTGTGCGTGCATTTCCAAAATCCAGAAGAGAATAGAGGAGAAGGGATTGCAGCATGGTATCACCCCCCACACTGGGGGTGGGTGGGGGGTGATTTCTCACTTCCTGTCTCTCTGGCAAGTGCATGTACCTTATAGTAAAACTCTAACAAAGGGAAAAAGAAAAACACTTGCATTTTTCATATCACGTAAGCCCCTTTGTATTTTCCATTTTTATTTCTGTGTATTGGGGAATTCGTTCATTCTGTCTTCAGTTATATTCTGTTTGGCTCTGTCTTAACCTCAGCCTGTGCCTAAATGTTGGCAATTATACATTTCTCATCTGGAAGTGAATTGGCTCTTTTTCAGATGGTCCAGTCTGTATTTCTGCCACCTGGCTCACTTGCTGGCTCCAGCTTTGATTTCACTCCTGCACATGAGCAGCCATCTAAGGTTCTTAGGAAGCAACGCTAGTGCTGAGTTTGTGTTTGCTGAGCCTCGGGCACAGCGATTTATTATTCATGTGTTGCAGATTCCGCTGCGGGTTGGAGTTTTCGGTTGTGAGCTCATGTTCCTGTGAGACCCAAGGTTAAGGGTGTATCCTTCCAGCTAGTCTGCATTTGCTGTCACCCTACCTTGCATGACTCGACGGGCTGTAGTCCTCTGGACCGCAGGGGTAGTGGCAGGACTCCAGACCTGTGGGCACCCCTGCCCCAGGCTGAGGTAGACTGGCTCTCGAGGGCTGTGGGGACTGAGTCCTCTCCCACTCTGCTTTCTTGGCAGCAGCTCTTGGTTCCAACTCTACTTGCAGAATTCCAAAGCTGTCCTGAGAAATGTCCCAGGGCAGCGACTTTAGACTTTGTCTAACATTCAGGGCAACTGGAGGCAGGAGAACCCTGTGTTGGCAACTAGAGATGTACTTCCTAACTACCTCTTTCCCCCTCCTAAAAAAAAAAAAAAAACAGTGATGTTCGATTCCAAGTGTCTATGTGCTTTGGAAAACGGTATTGTACCCCACTCAACAAAGAGCAGAGCCCTGTCTTGGGAGTGTGTGTGTGTGTGTGTGGTGGGGGCGGGGGGGGTCAGTTCGTGGCTTTCTGCTGCTGCAGTGTCCTGGGCCACCTCATGACAACTCCTGCCCCTGCCCAAGCACCCTGTTCCAAACAGTCTGCTTAATGACAGGCGGTTCTGTCTGCAGCACCTGCCTGCGGAGGCTGGAGGGGAGGCTGGGGGAGAGCCGGTACTTGCCACAGAAGGTGTGAGAGGTCAGAGGACCCGAGGGCCATTTAAGATGGGTTTAAATTGCCAGACCAGGAAGCAAACTTGGGACAGAAGGGGTCTCGGCGAGCCGGGTGCCAACCGAGGGTCCCCGCGAAGCAGCCTCAGTGTCCTTGTGCTCCGACCCACCCAGAGCCCAGAGGCAGCATGTCGTCCATGGAGGTGAACGTGGATCTGCTGGAGCAGATGGACCTGATGGACGTGTCCGACCAGGAGGCCCTGGACGTCTTCCTGAACTCGGGAGAGGACAACAGCGTGCCGTCCCCAGGCCTAGGTAGGGCCGTTTCTCTCCGGGAGGGCATAGGTCAGAAGTTCACGGAAAACGTGTTAGGGAAAAGTTTTACCTGGATTTGAACGCTGTTTGCACCTGCATGAACGCATGCTTGACACTCCCCACCCCGTCTGTGAACGTCCTGAAGTCCCTCTACCACGGTCAGTCAGCTCCCGGGCGCCCACGCCTGACGGGGAGGCGGCCGGTACGCTAACCTCTGGTGAGTGCCACACCACCTGCGTGGTCCCGGAAGCCACCTTCAGTTGGGTTTTGTGGTATTTAAAGGTCGGACACCACGCCTGATCTCAGCAGGTGTCTGGTGCCGGTCCACAGCGGGCAAGGCCAGCCCTTGGCCTGTCATTCCAAAACCAGTTGCAGACCTGGGGCGCTTTGCAATTACTCCTGAGGCACCAGACCGTTCAGGCCTCAATGCACTTAAATTCCAGCCCATTTCTGGCGGACTTGCTTAAACAGGCGCCACTCTGAACAAGGCCTTAGCCCTGTTTCCACCTACAGGAAGGGAGGCTCCGCGCCCCCACAGCACTCACCACCTCTCAAATCCATTATGAAGCCCTCACCGTCTCCTGCAAGTCCCCGTGCAGTGTCGCCCAGGGCAGGAGCTGGCTGGCTGCTTCTGCCTAGGCCAGAGGACTGGAGATAGGGAGCGTATTTCTTGAAGAGCTCCCTGAGCTCGGGGAAACCCGAGAGCTGCGGAAGGCTGACCCTGGCTCGCCATCTGCAGTCAGCGTCTACAGCACTCACAAGGGCAGGGAGGGCATGACCAGGCTCGGGGGCACAGCAGCTGCCCGGCCCTTGGGCACACGGTGTCGCTGCAATTCTCGAGCTTCCTCGGGACAGATGGCGGACTTGTTCAGGGACAGAAGGGCCAGTTAGGCCCCCTGCTCTCCTGGGGCGATTCCACACCATGGGACCAGCAGCTGGCTCCCAGAACACCGCGTGCACCCCGTTACCCCGGGCAACCTCAAACACGGGAGGAGGGGGTGATCCTAACGTGCAGTTTGTCTTTCTCAGGGCCTGAATCCAGCGCTTGTCAGGACGAAATCATGCTTCAGGTTCCAGACCCCTCGGAATTACCAGCCAAGCCCCCATCCTCACCTTCTGCCTGCTCCAGCTCGGGGGCCCGGGACCCCAGGGCAGGTGGGGAGTCCCCGCTCGTTCAGTCCGACGAGGAGGAAGTGCAGGTGGACACAGCCCTCGCCACGCTACACGCGGACAGCAAGGCCACACCGGATGTGAGTGACGAAAGCGACTCCTAAGCGTGGACTCGTGTCTTGGGACCACACACTCAGTGACCTTTCCTGAGCGTAGAGCCCCCCCCTGTAAAGTCATGGTGTGTCGTGGAGGGTCTTGGTTTACACGGTTGCCGATCAGGTGAGAGACGGACCGGCAGCAGGGCCGAATAAAGTTTGAGGGCATGAAACCAGCAGTTCGCAGCTGCTTTGTACAGAACGGCTTCTGTGTTCACATGTCCTGAGCCTGGGGTCACTCACACTCCTGAGGGCACAGTGAGGGGACCCGCCAGCGCTTGTCAGGACGAAATCATGCTTCAGGTTCCAGACCCCTCGGAATTACCAGCCAAGCCCCCATCCTCACCTTCTGCCTGCTCCAGCTCGGGGGCCCGGGACCCCAGGGCAGGTGGGGAGTCCCCGCTCGTTCAGTCCGACGAGGAGGAAGTGCAGGTGGACACAGCCCTCGCCACGCTACACGCGGACAGCAAGGCCACACCGGATGTGAGTGACGAAAGCGACTCCTAAGCGTGGACTCGTGTCTTGGGACCACACACTCAGTGACCTTTCCTGAGCGTAGAGCCCCCCCTGTAAAGTCATGGTGTGTCGTGGAGGGTCTTGGTTTACACGGTTGCCGATCAGGTGAGAGACGGACCGGCAGCAGGGCCGAATAAAGTTTGAGGGCATGAAACCAGCAGTTCGCAGCTGCTTTGTACAGAACGGCTTCTGTGTTCACATGTCCTGAGCCTGGGGTCACTCACACTCCTGAGGGCACAGTGAGGGGACCCGCAGGCCACAACGGCCACCTGCATGGCAAGGGCAGGGAGGAAGTTTACCTCCTGTGAGACGTGCCGGGCGTGGTCCAGTTCGGCCCCACTAGCGCGAGTTCTCCCGTGCTCTGTACAAAACCATCAGGCTCAGTCCTGCCCCGCCGGCCCAACCCCACTGTGACCGCGAACATGCGTCTCAGCCCTAACAGGAACACATGAGCCCACAGCAAGCCTCCGTTCTTCTTCCTGGGAAGCTCCCCTGCCACCACGCCTAGCCCAGCACCTGACCTGGTGGAGCCCCAGGTGTCCTGGGGACCTCTGAGGCCGGCGCCGCAGTGCAAGCAGGAAGCCAGCACGGAGCAGGTGTGGTGCCAGCCCAGGCCACACCAGCTGGTGCACCTGGAAACCACTGGCTGTGCCTCGGGGACTCACGCGGCAGCAGGTGGACCTCGGTGAGTGCAACGGAAGTGTGTGTGCTCCACTCCCGGGTGAGGGGCCTCTCTGCTATCGCCCACTAAGCTTCCACGAGACAGACAAGTGTCCAAAAAACGTCGTTTTTATTATTAAACCTTGTAGTACAAACCTGAAAAGTAAACAAAAAACTGGCAATAAACCACATGAAGTCTTCCCTCCCAAGGGGGGTGCAGAGCAGCGCTAATAAATTAAACGTCAAACTGTAAGCCATAGGCGGAAGTTCACTGTCAAAAAAGAGGGAACGTACACAGCAAGGCCATCAAAACCGGACAACCACATTGGAAACACTCGACTCGGCTTACGTCATCGTTAAATACTCCGGAACAGTTCCGTCTTCTGCGACCGCCACCGACAAAGTGGATCCCGGGCCGCGCCGGGCAGTCCCCACTGCGAGCTCAGTGCAACACGGGAGGCTACGGGTGGCTGAGTCCAATTAGAAACAGAGAACAGCTAGCGAAGACAGTTTCCCTTTTGATTCCACACATACTGTACACACAACCGGAGAAGGGCATGGCGACGTCGTCGTTCGGCGATGTAAGCAGCACTTAGACATGTTACAAGAGAAACCCTGTAACCCCCCACCCCAGCCGATGAAGAAACGGGAACGTAAGGCTTTTCTTCATCTCGTCTTCTCCCCCCGCCCCACCCCCACCGAGAAAAAGGCTCAAGTATTTCAAACAATTTACAGGCGTATGTACAAAACGGGTGGGGTTCTTTTTTTTTTTTCTTTTTTTTTTGTTTTTTTTTGTTGTTGTTGTTGTTTGTTACAACATGAAGAGAAAAAATAGACACAATGAGCGCAAATGCATTTTCACATTCAAAGAGAACCGCACCTAGTGGCTCGATAGCTGCGATCACACACAACGTCCCAACGGAGCTTAATGCTGACCTGCGACGGTGTCGGACAAGCGGCGAGATGAGGGTGGAATGTCAGGAAATTGCACGTCGATGACCAAGAAGCACTTGCGGCTTCAATCACTTCTTTTTTTTTTTCTTTTCTTTTTTTTTTTTTTTTTTTTAAGGATGATTTTGAAGGGTTTTTGATAAAGTAGCCAACAGCACCAAAAATAACAGAATGGATTTCCTAATGAAATCAGGCACAGGTCTCCCCACGCGACCCCTCCAAGGCAGGCGGTCTTTTTCTTCTTCTCGCGCTCCCCTCAGACAGATGCATAGTGGTGTGTGCTGGTAAAGAGAACCTCGGCGACCCCCTCGCGTGGCCGTGCTCAGGAAACAACGCCCCCCCCTCCCCCTGCCGTGACCGCCCCAAAACAACAACACGGGGCTTCTCCGGTTTTCAAAATCACAAACTCATCTTGCACATGACAGAAGAAAAGACAGCCAAAGTAAAGCCATTTCTTTCAAGTTTTTTTTTTCGGTGTGTGTGGGTGTGTGTGTGGGTGTGTGTTGTATGTCTCCTATCCCTTTTCCGATCTAGAAAAATCTGCTCACGTGACTAATGGTTTTAAAATTTGTTCTCCAAACTTCACCCTCTTCAAAAATGGGTTAAAAAGCCTTTTTTTTTTCCCCAACAGTTACAAAACAAAAAACAAAAACAAAAAACAAAAACAAGGAAAACAACAAAAAAATCAAAACAAACAAAAAAAAGGCTTTCATCAGCCGTGGGGGGGAGGGGGGCGATATCAATTAATACGGCCCCTCGGGGTTTTAAAACAGTGAATATACGGCAGTTTCCAAAATCTCACTGCAGTATCTAGGTATTCTAAGTACAAAAAAAAGTTCAACAGTTTAATGCTAAAACAAAATTAGTTCTCTAAAACCAGAAGAAAATCTTCTTTAGAGCTAGTGCAAAAGACAGCTTGTATCCTACAGCAAGTACTCCAAACTAGAATATAATAATTACAAAAAAATATATATAAATTGACCACGGGGTGGGCATCTTCACGATGCGCTCGAAGCACTTCGGGATGAACTGGAGGGTGAAAGTCGGGAAGGCTGCACGTCCACAGTGGCTCTCTTGCGGGGCCCCCTTTTTGGTGCAGGCTTACTGAGACAGTTCTCCACGCTGCCGTTCTTACCCGAGACTTTGCCACAGATCTGGTTGACCAGGGTGATGATCTGCTCCTGTGGGGAGTCGGGAGGAAGACGGGAGTGAGCGCAGCAGAGGGTGCGGTCCCGGGGGACGTCCTGATGGCCCGTCAGCTTCCCAAGTGTGGCTCAGGGCGGCTGTGACAGGCGTGTAAACTCGCCCCGAGACTCAGCGATGGCTCCCGAGTGGGCATGAGAGCGCCGCCCAGGTCGGGAGAGGGCATTGGTGTCCGCGGCAGCTCCTCACAGGCCCACCCTCGCCTCCTCGCCCCCAACCAGACGGGGCACCTCCCTGGTGGCTTTGAGGGCTCAGCCAGGTGAGCTGGCAGAGCAGTGCCCCACTGCACGGGGCGGGGTCGCCGAGGGACAGCGTTCGACCGCATGGGAGCTCCTGCCCCAGGCTCGGGTCCACGTGCCCGCAGCACCCCCACCACCGCAAGGGCTTGAAGGCGGCGCAGCTTCGTGCTCCCGCTCCCACACACCACTCCCGTGGCGACTGCTGGCGGATTGGCTCTGCTCACCCTGGTCGTGCTAACAGGTGGGGACACGTATGCGTCACACGGCTCTGCTCCCTCCTCCCGGCTGGGGGAGATGGCCGAGCAAGGGCCCTTGGACCTCACTACGTCCAAGAGAGAAGTCAGCTGTTCACTGCAGAAATGTGCTGTCCCAGAGCTGGCCGCTCTGAAAACACCGGGACCGTGGACGTGTGTTTCCCAGGGCATGCCGGACATACTGCAGGGGGTCAGAGGTCAGGCTGCGCTGGGGGCCACCTGACCTCTGGCCCAGGGAAGGCCCCAAAGTAAGGGCAGGAAACAGATCTTGGCACCAGGCAGTTAAAGGTGCCCTCCTGGACACAGCTGCACTCAGCGCTGTGCGACTGAGGGGCAGACGGAGGAGCCCCCAGCCTGGCCACGTGGGGCTAAAGCCTGTGGACGAGGGGACCAGCGGGGGTGAGGGCTGCGGGCCTCCTCCCTGGCCTGCGTGCTGCATCCAGGCTGGCTCCCTCACACCAGGAAGCTGGGAGCCCACCTACAGGTGCAGCTGAGAACCAGCACCAGGCGGGCCCACCCAGGGAGCTCTGTGCTGGGCGCACCTGTGGACAGAGCTGGTGTTGGGGCTCCCAAGCTAGAATCTGTTACCACCACCCCTGCCCCGCCCGTTAAAAACAAAACAAACCAACAGGCTGATTAAGCAGGCTTCTCAATCTTCTCGCCCTCCCTCCCGTCCCAGACCAGTGGCTAAGCACCAGGCTCACACCAGGCCCTGATGCGCTGTTCCCCAGGATCCAGCCTGCTGAGACACCCAGCTACTGCAGGCCTCCAGCACGGCTCAGAAGCCTCTTGGAGGCCGCCCAGCATCCTAAGAGCTGCCTGCCGGGCTCTGACTCACCGCCGGGTTAAATTTAGCCTCTTTCTGACACTGGCTGTGAAGGGGAGAAGCCGGGGCACCCTGCTAGCTGCAGTCCCCGAATAGGAGCTTTAAAACAAAGTGAGGCAGAGCTGAATTCAGTCCTCAGATCACACGGTGCAGCCAGAGGCTCAGGGTCTAACCCACCACTGCGCCCACAGTCCAAGCAGAGCCACAGGCACGAGCCCTCCACAGGTATGCTTGGGCCCGGGCCCGGACCCCTGCCCCTGCCCCTGGACGTGGAGGAGCAGACACTTGGCACATGACCCTCTTCGTGGGGTTCCGTGGGCAGCAGCTCTGGGAGGCGGGGGTGGGGGAGGAACGCTCCTGGCTGCACGGGCTGTGCTCTCCACAACTCCTGAGCTGCACAAACCACCCAGTCATGGACACGCAGTGACTGGGGCCACTGGGGGAGGGCGCTCCTGCTCCCCTCCCCCACCCCATAATAAGGCCATCAGTGGATGATCAGGGTCAGAGACAAGAGAGAACAAGACCAGCCAGACAAGGACTGCTGGGAGGACAGGCGTCCCCTGGGCCCAACACGGTTGGCAGATCAGTGGGAGGTAAGAGAAAGGGGCCCTCGGGAGGAGACAGCCAGGCCACTCCACCAGATGTACTTCCTGCTGCCAGGGCTGTCTGTGCCCAAGCTTCACACGGTGTCACCTATGTCACCTGCCAGCTCTGAACCCCACAGGTCTGGCAGGCCCTTGAGCTTGGGGAAGGGGCCCAGAGAGCCTGGCCCCTGGTCGGAGATACCGGAGCGCCCACAAAGACAAGGATGCTGACCTAGTGCTCAGAAGGGGTGTCCCTGGGAGGGGGGAGGGGACGCGGGGCCTCCACTCCCCATACTGGCAGCTCCTAGGGCTGCTGCCCAGCCAGCACTCTGCAGGGGTGGGGACTGTGGTCAGCCCACTTGTAGCCGGGCGGGAGGTGTGCTCGGTGGTGCATGTCGCAGCTCCACACAGGCCACGACATGGCATCAGGCCCAAGTTCCCTCCCTGCCATGCGGGCCACACCGCCCGGGAACAACCACATGGTGGCTCTGAGCTGCCGAGAGGGACAGGGGCTGCGACTGTGTGTTCATGTCTCAGACGGAGCTCAGGGCCAGACTCCTGGCAGACCCGCCTGGTAACCGCCACAGTAGCCCACTGGGTCTCTCCTGGCACAGCGTGCACAGGCCCGGCCCCTTCCTGTAGTCCCCAGCAGCCGCATTGACACCTGGAACCACCCTGCTCTGCCACCTAATCCCTTTCAAGCCAAGGATCGTGGACCAAGGCCACAGGGGTCAGGAAGGGCAGGGACCCCTGGCTGCTCCTGTGCAGGCTCTCCTCCACCCTGAGCAGCCAGGGCTACAGACCCAGCAGAGGGCTGCTGGCCTCTGGCCCGGGATGTGTGAGGCCGGACACAGGAGGAGGGCTGGTGCCAGAGTGGGCAGCTCAGACAAGGGTGGGCCCCAGAGCTGGTCTCTCACGTCCCCAGGCCTGCCAGCACCCACTGCGACCCGAGGATCCCGCCTCATAGGGACACATCCAGGCCTGGCAGTGTGGGTCAGAGGTCAGCTTCCTGAGAGCCTCTTGTACCTGGGGCCAATATCACAGATGGCAGCACACAGGGCTCAGGAGACAGCCATATACACGGGGCGGGGACGTGGAGGAGAACGGCAAGGCCAGGTGGGTCCGGCCGGAACACCCAGGCATATGCAGCCTAGGGTGCACGCTCTGGAGCGGGACGGGGCGGGGCGCCAGACCACATGTGTGGCAGCCCGCGGAGCCCGGGGCCAGCACCGAGGGCCAGCACTGACCTCGTCGTAGCGGTACATGAGCTTCAGGCCGCGGCAGGACTTCTGCTTCTCCACGTGGCGCAGGGCGCACTCCAGGCAGAAGACGACGTTCTCATGCTCCTGCACCACCTGTGGGGCAGCGGGGGTCACGGCGTGTGGGGACCTCCCCGGGCAGGCGTGCCGTCCCCACCCATGGTAAAGAAACCACACGGTCTTCGAGGACAGTGGAGAGCTGACTGAGGGTGGCCTCGAATGGCGCAGGTTTCCCAGGGACACTATCTCCTTTGGGCTGGGAAGACAATACATGCGATGCTTCCCCAGGAGGCTCGCGAACTCCGTGCAGGTGTCGCTGAGCTACCGGGTTCAGGAAGGCCCCGGGTCGGGTGTGGACAGGCAGGAGGACCAGGCTGCAGCTGTCCCATGGGAGCTGCTTGCGGGCACGGCGGATGGTGGCCGTCGCCGCCCGCAAAGGACTCACCCAAGACCCCAAGCCTCATCCCTGGCCTACCACGCCCATGAGCCCCCTCCGGCCAGGCCCCGCTGCTGTTGAGGTGCCCATCCTATGACCTGGGGACACATGGGCACCAGGGGGTGCCCAGACACTGCCAGCAGGGCCTCCCCACCCTGACCCCCACTGCGCCTGGGGGGGCGCCGTGGTGTTCTGTGGTATCTGAGCAGAGGAGAGGACTGGCTGGACGGGGGAACGGCACTTCTTGACGGGCATGTCGCCTGCAGACACGGGGCTGGCAACAGGAGTAAACGTGGGGACAACGGAAAATGCCGAGGTGGGAGTGCAAGCAGGGCGCACGCAGGGGACCCCAGGGCCTCTGTGCACCCTCCCAACCCAGCTGACCCCTGAGCCCTATCTTCCCGGTTTGAACTGTGTGGGTCCACTTTCAGGTTTCTCTCCAATGAACTGTGTGGGTCCACTTTCAGGTTTCTCTTGATAAATTCTGTAAATATCCTGTCTGCCTCGTGGCGTTATTAATAACCCTTTCTTTCCTCGGAGTTTCTGGGAAGTCAAAAGCTAAAGCCAGGATTTGTACTGCATGGGGTTGGGCCCCAGCCCCCAGGGTGTCTGAGCAAAAACCCAGAATTTTCCCAAGGACACGCGGGCTGGTGAGTGCCGGGGGACAGCGTGAAGGCACCACTCCCCGAGGGACGAGCTTGCGTGCCGACCACAGAGCCACGCTCAGAAGCCCCAGGACGGACCAGTGTCACACAGACGCGGTCGCCGTGGTACGTCGGACGCTCATGGAGCGCCCAATCACCCCAGCCAGACAGGCCGGTGAGGACTGCAGCTGCCGAGCGTGTGGGACCGCACACCTGCAGAGACGTGTGGCGTGGTGTTCTCTGGCACAGGGCGCTTAGAGCCCCTGTCGTGAAAGCCTAAAGGGAGGGAGGACTGGGGGACAGTTGGGAGGGTTCACGGCCAAGGGACAGTCTGTACTTGGCCAGGGCACCCCTGACCGGGCCTCCTGGGTGTGGCTGGGGCACCCTAACCGGGCTTCCTAGACCGCCGGCC